CTTTACCTAGTCAAACAGTTAAATAATAAAACCCACTTTGCTCTACCAGGTCCCACAGTTTAACACTGCTTCTCTGGCAAGTCAGAGAGGTTAAAACCCCACCACTGCTTCCTACCAGGTCAGAGTTAAATGGGCTCTCAGTCACGAGGTTAACACTCGCTCTTTAACAGTCAATGGTGTAAATACCCCCAACACTGGCTCTTTTACGTTCACAAGTTACACGCTCTAACCCAGTTCCGAGGTTAAAAATAAACCCCATGCCTTGTCTTTTACCAGTCAGAGTTATACACCACTTTGCTCTTACAGTCAGGGAGTTAAAACACCAACTTTGCTCTACCAGGTCCACAGGTTAACAAACACTGCTTATTTAAACAAGGGGGTTTCCCCAACCAGTTATCACCCACGCTTCTACAGTCACCCTAGTTAACCACCTGCTCTTACCAGGGTTCAAACAGATAACACCACTGCCTCTCACAGTCCGCGTTAATACCCCCAACTTGCTTTCTACCAGGTTCCTGGGAGTTTAAAACACTTGGCTTTCTACCCAGTTCAGAGTTAAACTCAATGACTCTGACACAGGGTTCAGAGCGTTAAAACCACTGCTCTTACAGTTTCGAGGTTTAACACACCCAATGCTCTACGGTTCGGAAAGTTATAAGAAACACTTGGCTATACAGTCCAGCGGGAGTTAAAAATTAAAAACAACCAAACTGCCTCTATCAAGGTCCAGAGTCTTTCATAACCCACCACTTTGCCTCTAACAGTCAGTACGGTTAAACCCCCTCTGCCTTCTTGTACCAGGTCAGAGTTAACAATCCACTGCTCTCAGTCGGAGTTAAAACACACTGGCTCTTAACCAGTCAAGTGAGTGTTAATTACCCCCACTGGCTTACAGTCAGAGTTTAAACCCCACCTTGCTCTACCAGTTCAGAGTTAAAACACTGCTCTTTACCAGGGCCAGAGTGGGTTTAAACACTGCTCTTGTTTTACAAGGTCCAGGGTAAGGTTAAACACTGGCTTCGTACCGTCAGTGTGGAGTTAACCCACTTGGCTCTTTACCCCCGTTCACAGGAGTTAAAACACCCACTGATCTACCAGTCAGGGGAGTTAAAACCCCCCCCACTTTGCCTTCTACAAGTACGGGAATTTACACCTTGCTCTAACAATTATTCTAGTCAGGGGACGATGGATTTAAAAAACAGGAATGTGTCTTATGTGGGACGGGACCCAACTCATAATGTTATCATTGATTATGCCACTTCTACTTTTATAGCCTATCTAAAATTTATTTTTTAAAGAATTTCCTATTTTTATGTTTGGGGGGGGGTGGGGACACCGTTGGGATTCGGCATTAGCTTTCTTTCAAATTTAAAAAATATTTATTGGGTACCCATTTAGTAGGATTCAAAACTCTGTTTAAAAAAATTAAAAATAAAACTAACAAATGGTGTTCCAAAAAATTTTAAATATAATTTAAAGGAAGTCAGACTCTACTTGTTTATTAACAATTTTTGTACGTTATACAGGTATTGCCAAGTTGATTGTATTAGCGACCCTGGAATAATAAATTTCTTGGAAATTAAAAAGATTGTGCTCAGTTTGGGTTAGTATTAGTTGGTTTTGATAGAGACCAACTTTACGACAAGTATCGAAGCTTTGAGTAATCAGTTATTACAGGCAATTGTTTTCCCAAGAGATAATGATTTAGTGTTTCATGGAATTACAATTTTTAATAAGGAATAATTTGTAAGATGACAGATTTATTCCAAAGTTAATATTACACAGAAAATTAATCGTGTTTGAATGAAATATAAGGAAAATGTCCTGCTTTATTATGGGGGTTAAGGTTGTTCATACTTAGGTAGGCCAGTGGTAGGATATTTAGGCCAGTGGTAGGATAGCGGGCCTGTAAAAATGTTCCGGGACATAATTATAAATATCATGGTTATAATGGTTAGTGGTTACCATGGTTATAATGGTTACCATGGTTATAATGGTTACCATGGCTATAATGGTTACCATGGTTATAATGGTTACCATGGTTATAATGGTTACCATGGTTATAATGGTTACCATGGTTATAATGGTTACCATGGTTATAATGGTTACCATGGTTATAATGGTTACCATGGTTATAATGGTTACCATGGTTATAATGGTTACCATGGTTATAATGGTTACCATGGTTATAATGGTTACCATGGTTATAATGGTTACCATGGTTATAATGGTTTACCATGGTTATAATGTTACCATGGTTATAATAGTTACCATGGTTATAATGGTTACCATGGTTATAATGGTTACCATGGTTATAATGGTTACCATGGTTATAATGGTTACCATGGTTATAATGGTTAAAATGGTTACCATGGTTATAATGGTTACCATGGTTATGGTTATGATGGTCGGGATGTGGTGAACATGGCTATTTATTTGTGGACAGCCTTACGATACTGTAAAGGGGTCGTTCACATATTACATAATCAATTTTTGAACAATTCCCCCCCCCCCCCCTCCGTAATCAGTTTTACACAGCTATTGTGTATAAATTACACTAGCGTAATCATTTGGAGACCCCCTCCCCCTCGGTTGATCACGTAATATGTGAACGTCCCCAAATTGTAATTGTGCCTCGTCACAACTTGTATAAGATTAATGAAATCTCAAAAAATTATCAATGCAGAATCTTTTTTAGTTCACATAGGCAAATCTTTATAATATACAGATATTTTTATTTAAATTGGTTTTTAATAGAGTAACATGTGATGAATATTTAAGCGTTTTGTTGTTACATTTAAGTTGTCTTTAAAGTGATTTGATTATTATTGCCCCGATGAAATGACTTTCGTTTTATTTTTGATCAGTTTGCTTTTAAAGTGATTTACATGATTCGCCCTCGTGTCTACCCTTTTAAGAAAGTACCGCCCTTGTGTCCGGTTCCCATGAGAATATATAGAAAGAAATTATTCCTTGGATTCCACATTGATCAGGTCCTGGTACTTTATATCTGCAGACGCAGGCCAGGAGGGATCCTGGGAAGTGGGATCCAGATACCAGAGGAATATCTTCATGGACCGAGGAAATTAATTAGGTCTTCATTGATTTCTTCATAACTCTGTAACTCGTCACTGACAGGATCAGGATTGATGACTGATGGGGTCGAATGATAACTTCATAGCTCGTCACTGACAGTGACAGGGACAGCGTTGATGGGGTCGAATAGTTACTTCATAGCTCGTCACTAACTGGATCAGCATTACATGACTAACGAGGTCTCTTACTATTACACCAAGACAAAGGTCAGTAAATAACTATTAATATCGAAGAAATTAGCTAACAAATTATCGAGGACAAATCGGTGACCGACAACTGGGAACCTCTCATTCCGGGCTCCCACAGCTGGTATCACATCACATGGTCCAATCAGTGACGTATCATTTGTGATATGATCCATATTATAACCATCCTAACAGCCGGACAATCAAGAACCTGGGTAGGGTTCACAATTCACATGACAGTTTAGTAAGTAGCTGGGTATTATGAAGTATATTAAGAAGTGTTTGAGCTCTCGGCATGTGTTCACATAACTATCCTCAGTTAATGGTTGTGGTAAATTATTTCGAGAAAACCTACCTTGGGTCAGTAACTGTCGACAGTGAGGAAAGGGTTCCTCCCAAGTTTCCTTTGACGTTCTGGAATCACTATTCCAAGACGTTGAAGGATCCGGAGTTTCCCCGGACCTCTAACATGGGCGAGGGTTTTGCTGCAGGGTTTTTATTGCCAAATACTTTGACCATGAGATTGATTTTGATATGTATTCTGTATGTAATTATTATGTTGAGTTTGAACTATCATTATCTTGAACAAAATTAGTGCAGAAATATATACTGCACAGCTGTGAAATCAGTGGAGACCTGATTTAAAGTATCTCCAGAGGTTCCCAGTTGTCCGGGATATGTAATGATTGGTTCCTAGTTGTCGGAGCTGATTGGATTTACCAAGCTTGCATGTTAATTAGTTAACTAGGTAAAATTGACAGGTTCCCAGTTGTCCGTCAGCCATACAAATGCCTTCTTCACAACTATTCAATATAATAATTACTATATTGTATTGGTGATGAGCAGAACAAATAAATTTATTCTGTGGCGTCATATTTCTAAATGACTCAGTCGCAGTACCTGAACCTTAATATTGGGCCTGACTGTGGCCTCAATGTCGCTATGATATTTTGAGCCCAAGCGTTCTCGAAACTCTTTGAACCAAGCAGGATAATGATTAATTGACGATGTCAATTCATCTCAGCTCGGCGCGGCACAGTAGCGCATCGCGCTACAAGATAATGATATCTTAAAAGTCAGTCAGCGAGTTCGGATGGTATAATCTTGAACCATATTGTTCTGATATCATTCCTTAGAACTTGAGTATCAGTAATTACTATAAGAGTAATTAATCATCCAAATAAGACATTAAGACATTAAGACAGCAGCGTTTTTGAGCTTTTTATTTTATTTCAAAAGCATTCCAAGTAATTTATATAAGCGCATAGGCATAGCCATATTGATAATGATATATTTATTCTGAATACATTGTAAAAGATTTGATCTCTATTCACAATTCATGAAGTTTGAAGGAAACTACTGCAATGCGCGCAATTAGGGAGTGTGCTTTCAGTGGAGATATATTTATAACCTGCGCCTATGGAATGATTTGATAGCACTTAATGCGACACGTGCAGTTTTTTGGAAATCGCGCGCGCATACAATCGGACAATTTAGTTGCGTTCTGTTCTCTTTGCTTTCGTTGAAAGTTTTAATCACCAGTCATCAGTCATGCGCAACGTTGAGCCGCGATCTATGATCTACGTTTTTTTTTCAGTGCACAATTGTGAATTAATTTTATCGGTTTTATAGGATGGATACGTTTTCCGGACAAATGTTTTGCTATTCTCAGAACCAGTTTCATGTTCTGCACTTAATAGTTTACAAAATTAAACTCTATTTTCTGCTATTATAACTGTAAACGAATTATATCAATAGTCAATAGTTTATTAGGCAGACTAGTGGTCCCGTTTTTACTTTTTGACATTCTTCATATTTTGGGGTAATTTTGATGTTTCCAAACCACGAATGAAAAATATAATTACTATGTTCATTCTGGCGCATTTATATTATTGTATGAAACATTTCGATACAAAACACTGTAATATTTAGCAATAAATCAAAAAGGAAACACAATTAAATAATAGTAATACTTAGGTTAGTGGGTGAAATTATTTGCAAGTCATAATTGCTAGCTTAATATATTTGTACAAATGTCGCCTCAGTGGCGTAATTGGTTGATAGTCTTGGGCCTTTAACCCGGAGGTTGCGAGTTCGAATCCCGGTTGGGTCAAAATTTCGAAAATCGTCAATTATTTCATATGAAATCAATAGCCACACATTAAAGGCTTGTGTATACATGTTTCTGAAAAATAGAACTAGTCACCCACCAACGTTATTACACAGTAATATAAAATTTAATGCCGTATAATACGAGCAAAGCTACTCAGTTTACGTAACAAAGGTAACATGTGAGGTGTATCGTCTAATGTTCACCCTCCCGTGGGAATATAACAACAGAGCAGTAAACACGTGCTCTGGATAACATTAAGTAAAGTGAGTCAGGTCCTCCTCCTCACTGTACCTTCACTCTGTGCAGTACTATTACAGCTGGCCACTGAGCAGAATAACTAGCCCACTGTGACACACTGCAATCTTACTATCAGTGTTAACACATCTCCTATCAACACTGTCCTTAACTAGTGACATTACACTACTAGTGACATCAGTTACTATACCTATATCAGAATAATTTAATCCATCCGTAACACACAATCTATCTAATTCATTATTAAATACATGCATAATACTAGTAACATTGTAATCATTAAACACATGCATGACAGGTAATGTACCGTGTATGAAGTGTCCTGGTAATTGTGTAGGTAAAATCATATCTAATACATCAGGTATTTCTGAATATAATTCTCTTAATTGTTCTCGTATTACACATGAGATGTCTGATAAATCACATGTGTTTCTAAGGCTCATTGATAAACGTACCAACTGAGTGGATGATAGTTTGACATTTATCATTCTTAGTCTGTCAATTAATTCTGTTTACTCAAATTCCAATAACCCTGTGCCATGTCACATGCAACCATGACAGTGCACTCTAAAGATAACAACTTGTCCATCAGTACACTACACTCCTCAGTTGAGCTGATATACAATAACTCCTGTATATCATCAATAAATATGTGACAGTTGGTCACAGCACTGATTGTATCTATTAACTTCTGTACATCATAACGTGTTATCTCTACAATGATAACTTTACACTTACTCTCTGATATTAGAGTAACTAGTTCTGTGACGTCAGACATGCTGGTCTCTTGATATTCTACATCAGCATTCTTTAATGCACGCTGATAAAGCTGACAGTTGTTACCATCACCGCCGAATTTGAATAACACAACTTTATTGTCCTCATTAAGTTGTACAAGTTTGATTATTCGACCGCAAAGTATCACACTTTTCCCCGCTCCAGCGGGTCCATTAATCCACAACAGATTCTCGCTTGATTCGAACGCTTCATATTGTTCTACTGTCAGGTTCTCCACTTTAACGAAGTTTCTGATAACATCAGGAGCTGTTACAACTCCAGGATTCTGTACAGAATTCTTCCCTTTTTTTGGTAAAAATGTAAATTTTCCTGATTTGAGCCGTTCATCAATGTTTGATATGCAGTTTCCTAAACTACATTTCGATTTATCGCAGTTTTTATCGGTAGCCCAGATAGCAAGTAACATATTTCTAACTTTCTGAAAGGCATCATGATTAATTCTTGTATCTTGAGCTATTGTTGTGTTGTTATTCCACCAAAAACCAAAACTTGATAAGTCCTCGTCTGATGAGATGTCATCGCTGGAGATTTGTCTTTCTGTATCACTGGCTCCGAGAAAGCAGCCCCTCAAACAACTAAAAAACCGAGATAAATAATTTTGCTCTTCTTCAGGGCTGGTTTCTCTGATTTCTATTGATGTTCCTGCAGTTATGGGTTCCCTATTATTGTTATCGTTGATCTTGTTACCATCGACAATGTCCTCATGAAATATCACTGTTGATAATTCTGAATCGCTTAGCTGAAGTTTTGTATCTTCACTAGCCTGGAACTGTCCTTTAAATTGTTCACTGAAATTAGGATACGCAGTGAACTGACAGATAGTTGTGTCCTTGTCTATACATTGAATCAGATATTCTATCTTCTTTCTCTGCTCAACTGACTTTTTGAACGTACCAGATAATGCTCGGAAGTGCTCTTCCTTGTCAACCGCAACATCATCGATTTCAATGTGCGACATGTTCTTAACTTCGATTATAACAATGGAGCCTGGACATAAAATTAAAAAATCACATTCCCCTTCCTTATTCGACGAGTTCTTGCACCCTTTGCACGTCTTTTTGTCCCGCAAATGACTCTGATCACACAAACAATATTGGTGGTGCGTGAATTCAAAGTTATGAAGAACGACGATCTTACCGTCCGGTAATTTCTCCAATGCCCTATACACCATAACTTCGGCCTCATAATCAGACTGACGTTTTCGTTGGTCTCTGAAACCACTACTTTCCGGGTACCTGTCTATATACGTCTGATCTGGAGCTCTTGGCAGCATAGTGGGTCGTTTGTCATCAGAGGTGCAGAACTTGAGGAATATTTCTTGTCCGTTCTTTAAATAGTTGTCCATTGTTCAGCAAATCAAGATATTCTGAGATAAATTAAACTGTTATAAGTTTAAATTTTTACTTGTCGCAACAACCGGGATAAAGATAATTTTACACAGAATACACTTTAAAGCTATATGTAGTAATCATAATTTGTAAATGAGATGAGGCACCAGGTGTTCAGGATAAAGTACGGGTTTCATTTTGATTAAGAGGACTGGGGAGTTGTGAGTGGTTGAGTATTACGTACATATTATTACCTTAATATTGAAGATAAATGTTGATCTTTAGTAGGAAAATATCGGAAACGCAGCTTAATCTCTGACCGGACTCTGGTACCTAAAATATATTATCCTGTCAATTATTGCGAGCAATGTAGTTCATTTTTTGATAAGATTGGACTACTGATGTGTGATCTGGATTATTTTAAATTATTGTTTAGGATGAAGAATGAGGAGCCGTATAATAGGGATGACTATTAGTCTAGATTCAAGACTTATATTGGAATATCAACTTCAAGATCTTGTAAAACAGCCAAGTGCTAGTAAACATACATATTCTTACCTTGATATTCAAGATCGAGGTTGTTCTATTTCTAATTTAGAAAGAAATTGGAATACGCTGCTTGATCGCTGACCGGATTCTGGTACCTAAAATACAACATCTTGTTACTCACTGAGCACTGATACGAGCACTGATATGAGCAGGTTAATCATTTTGTGATTGAATATCATGCAATACAAATGCGAACATTAAATAACAGTTTTAACGAAATATGAGAATAACTCGTGTAATAGAATTTTGAAAATAATACAGAGAGGCTTTAAAAATGCCAACGAGGATGAAGAGTTGTAAATCAAAGAATTAACCTGAAGTGTGCACTAGGTTCCTCTCGGGAGTTAGCAGTGATTACACAGTTAGGAAGTAGATTGAATATCTCAGTACTGAAGCGTGTCTTCAAACAATATATTCTGTTTTCAACACTGCTGCCTGTAAATGTATGCGAACATAATGATCAGCCATTAAGTGTACATCTAATTAAAAGGAGATCGATTCTAATTTTATACATATATTATTATATCGCCCGATGGTATAGCGGGCTCCCGCTATATCAGCGGGCTGTAACAGCGGGCCGGGATATATCAGGTCTTCTAACTCGCGGGCTGCGAGGGCCTGCTGGTGCAAATATAGCCCGCTGGTGGATATACTATACATATTGCATGACGTTTTAACTCAGAATTTGACTCAACATATTTGATAACACCTACCAAATAAATATCGACGCTGCGGATAATTAAGTTGGTAAATCAGAGGAACACAATGAAAAAACAAGGGTTTACAGACTAGAGAGAACAGAGGGTTGATCACACGACATAATTAGATTATAGATGTAGAGTAATGTAATGAAATGGATGAGTCACCGGTCACGTGGTACTGTCACGTGGTGTCACGTGGTGTCACGTGGTACTGTCACGTGGTGTCACGTGGTGCGCTGCAATGAGTTTCAGGATATCATGTTACTCTGCAATCTCTGCTAGAATGTGGGTTCTACAAATAGCAGTAGTACTAAAAATTATGTCATCTTTAATCATGTTTTCTCACAACTGATCGTGGCCACGAGTTTATTATTATCAATTATGATGAATTGAAATCTTGCGTGAGTCAGATTGTTATGTACATCCTGAGCTGAGTTAATGCTGTTAAATCCTGTGTAGATGCTGTGTCAGTAGCTGTATCACTGCACGTGTAGCTAATCTACTGTTAAATCCTGTGTAGATGCTGTGTCAGTAGCTGTATCACGTGTAGCTAATCTGCTGTTAAATCCTGTGTAGATGCTGTGTCAGTAGCTGTATCACGTGTAGCTAATCTGCTGTTAAATCCTGTGTAGATGCTGTGTCAGTAGCTGTATCACGTGTAGCTAATCTGCTGTTAAATCCTGTGTAGATGCTGTGTCAGTATCTGTATCACGTGTAGCTAATCTGCTGTTAAATCCTGTGTAGATGCTGTGTCAGTAGCTGTATCACGTGTAGCTAATCTGCTGTTAAATCCTGTGTAGATGCTGTGTCAGTAGCTGTATCACGTGTAGCTAATCTGCTGTTAAATCCTGTGTAGATGCTGTGTCAGTAGCTGTATCACGTGTAGCTAATCTGCTGTTAAATCCTGTGTAGATGCTGTGTCAGTAGCTGTATCACGTGTAGCTAATCTGCTGTTAAATCCTGTGTAGATGCTGTGTCAGTAGCTGTATCACGTGTAGCTAATCTGCTGTTAAATCCTGTGTAGATGCTGTGTCAGTAGCTGTATCACGTGTAGCTAATCTGCTGTTAAATCCTGTGTAGATGCTGTGTCAGTAGCTGTATCACGTGTAGCTAATCTGCTGTTAAATCCTGTGTAGATGCTGTGTCAGTAGCTGTATCACGTGTAGCTAATCTGCTGTTAAATCCTGTGTAGATGCTGTGTCAGTAGCTGTATCACGTGTAGCTAATCTGCTGTTAAATCCTGTGTAGATGCTGTGTCAGTAGCTGTATCACGTGTAGCTAATCTGCTGTTAAATCCTGTGTAGATGCTGTGTCAGTAGCTGTATCACGTGTAGCTAATCTGCTGTTAAATCCTGTGTAGATGCTGTGTCAGTAGCTGTATCACGTGTAGCTAATCTGCTGTTAAATCCTGTGTAGATGCTGTGTCAGTAGCTGTATCACGTGTAGCTAATCTGCTGTTAAATCCTGTGTAGATGCTGTGTCAGTAGCTGTATCACGTGTAGCTAATCTGCTGTTAAATCCTGTGTAGATGCTGTGTCAGTAGCTGTATCACGTGTAGCTAATCTGCTGTTAAATCCTGTGTAGATGCTGTGTCAGTAGCTGTATCACGTGTAGCTAATCTGCTGTTAAATCCTGTGTAGATGCTGTGTCAGTAACTGTATCACGTGTAGCTAATCTGCTGTTAAATCCTGTGTAGATACTGTGTCAGTAGCTGTATCACGTGTAGCTAATCTGCTGTTAAATCCTGTGTAGATGCTGTGTCAGTAGCTGTATCACGTGTAGCTAATCTGCTGTTAAATCCTGTGTGGATGCTGTGTCAGTAGCTGTATCACGTGTAGCTAATCTGCTGCAGCTCATTTAATAGATAACGTATTCTACGTCTGATATTACACCAACCGAACCGTCAGTATTATTATTGCGAAACTCACTCCCCTACGTCATCACTACAAAGGTGAAATATTGATATGAAGAGAATTGTGAAATGAGTGCTTTTGCAGTGCCCAAGATGGCATTAGAGTTTACTTTAAGTTACAATGTTTGCTTATATACAGTGTATAATGTTGTTCTATAATAATACAATGTACATTCATGGTGTAGCCATTTACTTCGTTGGAAATCTCCAATTCTGGACAAGAATGGTATGGCAACTCCCAACAAATATTAAATGTTAATTATGCCTCGTTACGTATATCTACATAATGCAAGCGAGATGAATTATGCCTCGTTATGTATATCTACATAATGCAAGCGAGATGAATTATGCCTCGTTACGTATATCTACATAATGCAAGCGAGATGAATTATGCCTCGTTACGTATATCTACATAATGCAAGCGAGATGAATTATGCCTCGTTACGTATATCTACATAATGCAAGCGAGATGAATTATGCCTCGTTACGTATATCTACATAATGCAAGCGAGATGAATTATGCCTCGTTACGTATATCTACATAATGCAAGCGAGATGAATTATGCCTCGTTACGTATATCTACATAATGCAAGCGAGATGAATTATGCCTCGTTACGTATATCTACATAATGCAAGCGAGATGAATTATGCCTCGTTACGTATATCTACATAATGCAAGCGAGATGAATTATGCCTCGTTACGTATATCTACATAATGCAAGCGAGATGAATTATGCCTCATAGTTCAAGGGGGCTATATTTATGAGTCGCATTTGAACTTGATTTCTCTTGGAGAATTTCTCTTTAGACTCTTAACTTGCGAACAAATTGAAGCAGCAAACTTTAGGCTAGAAACTTTATTGAATTGAAATAATCATTCCACGTAACAACGTCTTCTTCAGTTCTGTAATAAAATTGTTAAACATGTGTAAAAATTAACGACGGAAAGAAATTTAAAATAACATTAAAACAAAAACAGAGAAATAAAATTTACGAAATATGACCCAAAAATGTAATTGCAAAAAATGTCAAAACAACAAAAAATACGACAAGAAGAAATGTAAGCTAATACAACTAAATACTGTACTACTCATGATACTAAACTAATTAGTAAACGTAAAACTGGTTGTTCAGAATTCACAGTTCATGTGTAAAAACTAATGATAAAATCAGCACTTAAGCAACGATAACTCGGTTGTCATGGTTACTATCCAAGATAGTCCTATCAATACAAAAATTACTAGTTAATTAACATCGACTAAATATTTGTACAAATAACTCAACTCAGAACGATCATTCATTTCAGGACTTAATCTCAATATATACATCGCTTCTACAATCTTTCTACGAACAGTTTTACTCTGTAAATCAAGTAACTTAAAAGATAAAACTGGGGTTCGGTTAGGATGTAGAGATGCGTAGTGCTGTCCAACCCCATTCTCTGGATGTGCTCTAGGATTCCTAGCAGCCTGTCTGTGCTCCATCAGACGAGCATGCAGGCTTCTCTCAGTTTCCCCACAGTATCTCTTACCACATAACTCGCAAGTAACTAAGTAAATAGCTCCTTTTGTTGAGCATGTTGTTCCTGTGAGTCTAGGGCAGATCTCACAATTGTTAGGGTTACCAAGGTCACAAGTCTTCTTATCCAGTGGACGAGAGCGGCAGAAGATGTCCTGTAACTTCTTACCAGGTGTAAAAATAACTCTGATGGGGAGTTTGTTAGATTTGATGTAGTTGCGAATCTTATTACAAACTGTTCCAGAGATGAATGGTAAGGTGAGTGGGACAGAGTCAGGTGTGGTTTGACGTCTTCTCCTAGTCCTCCTGTTCCTTGCGTTATGACTCAGAGGTTGGTGTCCATTTTTCTTTAAGAGATCATCAATGATCTTAACTGAATGATCGAGTTCCTGGGGTCCTGAGGAAGCAATGGTGGCATTACGGTAGAAGTTCTTCTTACACTCCTCCTTCACTGAGTCCGGGTGGTGTGACTTCTGGTGTAATGTTATCCCCTTGTTCTGGGTTTTCCTGTAGAATCTGTGGTGCACTTTTCCTTCCTCATCGATCCGGATTTCCGTACTCAGGAACGGGACAAAATCCGCAGGGGTAGACGGGAACTCGATCTCCCACTTGATTCTGTTATCGGGATCCTGGTCGGCTATGCGTTGTAACATATCCAGTGCTTCTTCTCTGGATTTGGCTAAGGAACCAGCATCATCTACATACCGTTTGTATAAGAACCGAACAGGGTTACTGATGTAATAACTGTCTAAATATATACTATTACGCTCGAATTTCCACATTCTAATAATCGCTACAGGAGGGGATGGTCTACAACCCATGAATAAACCTAAAAGTTGTTTATAAAGTCTCCCATTAAATGTAAAATAAGAATTCGTCAAAACTACTGTAAAGATACCTCTAATTTCTGATAAACTTAAACAATACGTACTTAACTTACTCCAATGTTCTTCTGCAAATTCAATAACTGTCTCAATACACTCATTGATATTCAAATTCGTATACAAAGCTGATACATCCGCTGTAAAGAACTGTAAACCTTTAAGTTCACTCTCTGGTAGCCTACAGAGGATGTCCAGGTGGCTGTAGATATCGTACATATGAGTAGGTACTTCTCTCAACAAAGGACTGATAATGTCGGTAACTAACCAAGCCAACTTCTCTGTAGGTGAGCCACAACACGATACGATTGGTCTAACTTTCATATCCTCCAAGTTGATACGAGAGTAGTCAGTATCAGGTGGGAACTTGTGTGTCTTCACCAGGGTGTACATAGTAGGTAATGTAGAGTACGAGCTAATAAATAAATCCTCAATACGTGAGTCTAATTCCATATGGTTACTGCAAATAGTCCGCCACAACCTATTACACTCTGATTCAATATCTGCACATTTCTTGTTAATTTGATTCTGATACGTTATAGGAGTAGGTCGTTGAACAGGTCTGCGTACTCCGTAACTCGAACGGGTGGGCTCTACCCATTCGTAGACTCCAGAAGTGCTCTTGTTCAGGTGTTCGATCGTTAGCGTCCGGTACGTATCAACACTAGTCACGACAAAACTAGTGTTGATACGTACCGGACGCTAACGATCGAACACCTGAACAAGAGCACTTCTGGAGTCTACGAATGGGTAGAGCCCACCCGTTCGAGTTACGGAGTACGCAGACCTGTTCAACGACCTACTCCTATAACGTATCAGAATCAAATTAACAAGAAATGTGCAGATATTGAATCAGAGTGTAATAGGTTGTGGCGGACTATTTGCAGTAACCATATGGAATTAGACTCACGTATTGAGGATTTATTTATTAGCTCGTACTCTACATTACCTACTATGTACACCCTGGTGAAGACACACAAGTTCCCACCTGATACTGACTACTCTCGTATCAACTTGGAGGATATGAAAGTTAGACCAATCGTATCGTGTTGTGGCTCACCTACAGAGAAGTTGGCTTGGTTAGTTACCGACATTATCAGTCCTTTGTTGAGAGAAGTACCTACTCATATGTACGATATCTACAGCCACCTGGACATCCTCTGTAGGCTACCAGAGAGTGAACTTAAAGGTTTACAGTTCTTTACAGCGGATGTATCAGCTTTGTATACGAATTTGAATATCAATGAGTGTATTGAGACAGTTATTGAATTTGCAGAAGAACATTGGAGTAAGTTAAGTACGTATTGTTTAAGTTTATCAGAAATTAGAGGTATCTTTACAGTAGTTTTGACGAATTCTTATTTTACATTTAATGGGAGACTTTATAAACAACTTTTAGGTTTATTCATGGGTTGTAGACCATCCCCTCCTGTAGCGATTATTAGAATGTGGAAATTCGAGCGTAATAGTATATATTTAGACAGTTATTACATCAGTAACCCTGTTCGGTTCTTATACAAACGGTATGTAGATGATGCTGGTTCCTTAGCCAAATCCAGAGAAGAAGCACTGGATATGTTACAACGCATAGCCGACCAGGATCCCGATAACAGAATCAAGTGGGAGATCGAGTTCCCGTCTACCCCTGCGGATTTTGTCCCGTTCCTGAGTACGGAAATCCGGATCGATGAGGAAGGAAAAGTGCACCACAGATTCTACAGGAAAACCCAGAACAAGGGGATAACATTACACCAGAAGTCACACCACCCGGACTCAGTGAAGGAGGAGTGTAAGAAGAACTTCTACCGTAATGCCACCATTGCTTCCTCAGGACCCCAGGAACTCGATCATTCAGTTAAGATCATTGATGATCTCTTAAAGAAAAATGGACACCAACCTCTGAGTCATAACGCAAGGAACAGGAGGACTAGGAGAAGACGTCAAACCACACCTGACTCTGTCCCACTCACCTTACCATTCATCTCTGGAACAGTTTGTAATAAGATTCGCAACTACATCAAATCTAACAAACTCCCCATCAGAGTTATTTTTACACCTGGTAAGAAGTTACAGGACATCTTCTGCCGCTCTCGTCCACTGGATAAGAAGACTTGTGACCTTGGTAACCCTAACAATTGTGAGATCTGCCCTAGACTCACAGGAACAACATGCTCAACAAAAGGAGCTATTTACTTAGTTACTTGCGAGTTATGTGGTAAGAGATACTGTGGGGAAACTGAGAGAAGCCTGCATGCTCGTCTGATGGAGCACAGACAGGCTGCTAGGAATCCTAGAGCACATCCAGAGAATGGGGTTGGACAGCACTACGCATCTCTACATCCTAACCGAACCCCAGTTTTATCTTTTAAGTTACTTGATTTACAGAGTAAAACTGTTCGTAGAAAGATTGTAGAAGCGATGTATATATTGAGATTAAGTCCTGAAATGAATGATCGTTCTGAGTTGAGTTATTTGTACAAATATTTAGTCGATGTTTAACTAGTAATTTTTGTATTGATAGGACTATCTTGGATAGTAACCATGACAACCGAGTTATCGTTGCTTAAGTGCTGATTTTATCATTAGTTTTTACACATGAACTGTGAATTCTGAACAACCAGTTTTACGTTTACTAATTAGTTTAGTATCATGAGTAGTACAGTATTTAGTTGTATTAGCTTACATTTCTTCTTGTCGTATTTTTTGTTGTTTTGACATTTTTTGCAATTACATTTTTGGGTCATATTTCGTAAATTTTATTTCTCTGTTTTTGTTTTAATGTTATTTTAAATTTCTTTCCGTCGTTAATTTTTACACATGTTTAACAATTTTATTACAGAACTGAAGAAGACGTTGTTACGTGGAATGATTATTTCAATTCAATAAAGTTTCTAGCCTAAAGTTTGCTGCTTCAATTTGTTCGCAAGTTAAGAGTCTAAAGAGAAATTCTCCAAGAGAAATCGAATTATGCCTCGTTACGTATATCTACATAATGCAAGCGAGATGAATTATGCCTCGTTACGTATATCTACATAATGCAAGCGAGATGAATTATGCCTCGTTACCTATATCTACATAATGCAAGCGAGATGAATTATGCCTCGTTACGTATATCTACATAATGCAAGCGAGATGAATTATGCCTCGTTACGTATATCTACATAATGCAAGCGAGATGAATTATGCCTGGTTACGTATATCTACATAATGCAAGCGAGATGAATTATGCCTCGTTACGTATATCTACATAATGCAAGCGAGATGAATTATGCCTCGTTACGTATATCTACATAATGCAAGCGAGATGAATTATGCCTGGTTACGTATATCTACATAATGCAAGCGAGATGAATTATGCCTCGTTACGTATATCTACATAATGCAAGCGAGATGAATTATGCCTCGTTACGTATATCTACATAATGCAAGCGAGATGAATTATGCCTCGTTACGTATATCTACATAATGCAAGCGAGATGAATTATGCCTCGTTACGTATATCTACATAATGCAAGCGAGATGAATTATGCCTCGTTACGTATATCTACATAATGCAAGCGAGATGAATTATGCCTCGTTACGTATATCTACATAATGCAAGTGAGATGAATTATGCCTCGTTACGTATATCTACATAATGCAAGCGAGATGAATTATGGATCGTTACGTATATCTACATAATGCAAGCGAGATGAATTATGCCTCGTTACGTATATCTACATAATGCAAGCGAGATGAATTATGCCTCGTTACGTATATCTACATATAACAATACAATGACTCTTTATGGACACGAAAAAAGCTCGCTGTATATGCTACAATTCTCGAAGTATCCTTCAATTCTAGGAATTGAAAAAATGTCTGTCCTTTCAGAGCAATTGAACTAACAGTAGCAATACGACGAACACGATAACTGCCTACAAATACACTAATAAACGGTCAATGCCCGGAAATTTCTCACAGTTAGCCAAGGTCGAACACAGCACTAAGCAGGGTGGGGCACAAGGAGCGATTAGGGCACAACAATGAGTCTTATCTAAAACAAATAATATGAGAAGGAAGACTATGTCGTCTAAATTCTATAAAACGTTTACAAACCTGATAACTTGGGGTTGAGGAGAGAGTCTTCAGAAGATAGATACCAGTTAGAAAGTAGTTGCTCGAATAAGTTGTTGTGATCCTGTACTTCTTATCACTGAAATTCTCCGCGTGAGTTTTTTATTTTACAGCTTTACAATAGGACGCGGGCAGTCGTATTCTAAAATGGTACTAACTCAGATGTCCCTCACATAAATCGAGGAATTAATTAACTGATATTAAGTAGGTAATTAACTAATCAAGAACAGCCCCGTAGCCAAGATAATCTGCCATGGCAGGCGAGTCCGGCCGGACAGCTAGGGGACGTAGAAGGAAACATTTTGAGAAAATTTAAGAATATTTCCACGTTATCCTGCATTATCCACGTTATCCTGCATTTTGCCTTAGCTTTTTGAAAAAAAAAGTCGGAAACTGCCAGCTGTTCTGACATTTGTAAACTTTAAGAAGGCTTTCTACAGTGTACATCGTGGGAAAATGTTCAAGATTCTATAGGCTTACGGCATTCCAGTCAAAATCGTACAGCTTATACGGCTTATGTACGAGAAGACAACGGCCAAAGTCCTAATATAACTCCAGACGGAGAGACTGTTGTTCGAGGTACTAGCAGGTGTGTTACAGGGTGAAACCTTAGCACCTTACCTTTTTGCAATAGTCATCGACTACTGTATGAGGCAAGCCATAGGTGATGATGCGGAGCGACTTGGACTCACTCTCGAACGTTAAAAAAGCAGAAGAGTGGGGCCCAAGATCATCACCGATGTGGACGTTGCAGATGATATACCACTTATTTCTGAGGACATGGACAAGGCCAACTAGTTCCTCAGTTCCTGCTCCGAGTAGAATCGCGGCGGCAGCGAGCGTATGGCTACACTTAAACGAAGGCAAGAGGATGATGATTAATCACTCTACACTCGACTGTCACGTGACTTTTTCAACCCGTTCTCTAGCTGGCCCTGAACGACTATTCGAAACCCTAACAGTAACCCTCTTATCTGATCCCAACCCTAACCCTAACCCAATCCCTAACAAAAGCATATGCTGAAACCCTAACCGAACGAGAAATTCGACTAACTTCCTTATACGCACGGTCATATACTCGCAGCTACAGCTTGTTTTACGGATACTATACACTGTGTATAACTGATCAACGATATGCCGACAGTAGCAGAACGTTTCAAATTTGACTTAGTAGAGACCGATGGACAAAAGTTCCTACTTGATACCGTGAAACAGTGTAAAGTCGATTGTGTTCAAGAACTAAATCATGAGAGCGTGAACAAAATTGGTAACAAGGGGGATTTAGCGGCAAAGTTTTTGCAAGCCATGCAGCTCATTGAGAGACAGCATAACATGATCATAAATCAGAGGGTACACGTTAGTCAGTATCAGTCCGGTATGATACAGCTGCAGGACCAAGTTATAAAACTACAGGAGCAACTATTATCTGCAAAAGAAGGACTTTCTAAGGCGATAGAGTTTAACGAACATCTCAAGACTGAGTTTTTTGAGGGTGTTCAGAAAGAAGTCAGTTCAGTTAAACAAAGTTTTAGCGATGTGGTGAAATCCGGTAGTATCGAGAACTCAGCTGCGATTTCTACAGAATCCATTAAATCAGTTGCCAAGCAAATTGCTTTGGAGGAGGAGTTGGGTAGGAACATCATGGTCTTTGGGCTATGCGAGGAGGTCAATGAGGAGATCAATACAAAAGTCGCTGAAGTATTGGAATCATTGGGAGAGAAACCCCGAGTTGAGGCTTGTAGAATCGGCAAGAAATCACCGTCAGCTGCAAGACCGGTTAAAGTTTCCTTTTCCAGTTCTTCGATTGTGCAACAAATACTGAAGAAGTCGAGTAAACTGTGCGGAACAGAGAGATTTAAGAGGGTGTTCCTAGCTCCAGATCGTACAGCAGAAGAGAGAGCTCAGCGTAAAGAACTTGTCCTAGAGCTAAAAAGAAGAGCTGGTATTGAGAAGGACAAAAAACTCTTCATTCGTGAAGGGAAGATTTGTAGCCTTGAGAGGCAAAAATGAGTTTCTAAATATTTTTCGTGTTGTGAGCAAATCAAAAAGTTTAGCTCTATGAGTATTTGTCTTCTGTGTGCTTAGTTTTTGTCGAAGGATCTAACCTTTTTATTTCACTTATACAAAACTGTATAGTTTTCAAGGGATTAATCTGGTTTTAGGCGAATCTTGTTCAGAGATCGCTGTTTCATTACTCTTAGTCAGCTGGTGCAGCCTTTATACATGTATATTTACAATTTTAAATTGCTGTTCAATATCTATTTTTAGTAAACATTAACTGGGGTAGTAAAACCCAGTTCCCAATCTAATCTAATCACGTGATCAAGACAGTTTTTCGCCAATATCTTGGCAGGGGAGCATTTTAACCCTATGTCATGGGGTGTGATTCTGAATCAACGTCCGAAAATACATCGATTCAAGCTGTTTTCAACTGTCGGGGGCCCTTTAAGAACAATCTCGAAGATCGACTGATTTAGCACGCTCAAAGGCAAGACCAAGGTTATGACATTGAAATTTGAATATGGAGGATCGATCTAGCGACCTCTAAAGCATGAGGTGCCCTACAATGTAAGTTACATAGAACAGATAGGGAGATAAGGGTTAGAAAGGGAAAAGCATGGGGTGCCCTACATAGACTGAAGGATATTTGGAAATTCAAACCCTGAAAGAGCCTTAAAGCGATCGTCATCATTTAAAATCGATTTATTTTAATTTACGTTCATGACCGCTTATACGCCCTGTTACAACATGCTTCTCAATTCCCACCAGCATAGAGGTCCCAAAATAGTTCACACACCGAGTTAGAGCGCTCCGTATCGATTTCAAAGCCACGCAATGAGGAGGCATGGAGAGGTTATGTCTGGCCGGGGGCAATCACTTAACGTGTATAAACAGTGTAAACAGATTACTAAATCATCGCATATCTCCAGTTGTGGTTGTTTGTTTTGTTCCGGGTTTTGACCTGAGTGTACTGTAGAGACGATTTTCTGTTCATTTCTCCAGTAATAATTGGCATAAACCATCGTTATGTTTTCTTTCTATTTTTTGGCGGATAAATCAGAAACTAGGCATTTGCTTTTCAATTGTAGTGACTACTGTATTAGTTTACGAGTTTTCTCACAGCAGGACTGTTTTCTTTCGTGCTTTTTCAATGTAATATCGGGTCAACTTCAAGGTTAACAGTATCTACCGTATTTTCTTTGTACATACAACTTGCCGTGTTAACATTAACAATATCTACCGTACTTTTGATGTGGTACCGTGTAAGAAGTACCTACAGCATGGCCAGAAGAGGATTATCGACATTTTTATCCAGAATTACAGCCGGGTTCAGATCACCCAAGTGATAACGAATGGGTCGACCCTCCAGCATATGAAAGTGACGAGGACCTGGAGCTACCCGAGTCTGACAACTCTCTGTACGCTAACATAAATCAAGACAGGCTTCATCGTCCCGTTGAAGAGTGGTGTTCATGCGGGGAATGCAAGCTGATGGACACAGAGAAGGAGCACGTTTGCTGCAACGAATCGCATTTCATTACTGCGCATCGAGGAGAGCATCGGTGCATCAGCCAGGTTGGGATGTTTAAAGAACTTGTCGTCAGTGAGGATGGACTAGTTTACAGTAGGTACATGTATTCAATGAACATTACAGACCCTGATAAAAGAGATAGGTTTCTCAAGAAGAAGTTGAACCAAAAGGAACTACGCTTCATGGCATATAGAACCTTTATCAATATGCTATCATGTCGAGATTTCGATAGGAATGTGAGGTATATTTTGCCTGCATGTGTTGTCAGCCAAAGCAGGGCAAAGTTTCCGAATGAAAACGGAGAACCCTACACAGGCTACGTTTCGCTCAAGTCGAAAGATGGGCAATCGTTGCCCTAGACATTGTAATATTACATTGTATTATCAAATTAGTAATTACGTTGTCAATAACAGTACCAGAACAATAGGAAAATGTACTTTTCCTGAAAAAAAAGTATTGACATTTCTTTTTCTTAAATTTCTGATATAATGTTCCGTATTGGCATGCTTGTTTACAGTAATGAAATGCAATTATTATTCACCGCTTCCAGCCGTAGTATTGTGTTGTGAAGTATGTGTTGGCCCGACTCCAGTGAAATCGATGCCTCCTCATTTCGTAATACCGCTCTCGCGTGCGTGTTACTCCGGGTCTATTTACGTGCTACAGGGAGGGGTGGCGGAATTCTAAATTTAACCTACTTGTAGGATGTTGTATCGGCTACAAGCTAACTCTAAAAATTTGCAATTTTTTTCGGGTGCCCAAATGACAACCATCGCTTTAAGATTAAATTGTTCATAGCGGCTTGTGATCAGTATGCAGTACTGCTCTACGGATCAGAAACCTGGAAACTGACGAAGGCTCAAGAGAAAAGTTTGGACGGGACATACACAAAGATGCTGCGTATGGCGCTGGGTATCTCATGGAAGAACAAGGTCAGCAATATAACTTTGTATGGTAGCCTACCAAGGCATCAGTTATTCAATTATGTAATTGACTGACGCCGAGTAGGGTTACGAAGCAGGAGATTAAAAATGGCAGGACACTGCATCAGACATCCTAAGCTACTTGCTAGTGATTTAGTCTTATGGGAACCTATGCATGGTAGAGCACAGCAAGGCCGACCAAGACAAAGCTACTTGTCTATGTTACTGAAGGAAGTTGTGACAAACTCTAAAGAGGAACTGCGAACCCTGATGCGGGACAGGAATATATATGGATGGGGTTATCTGGCGCTTCGCCAAGTTCCTGCCTTAATCTTATTGCTGGCTACGTGGCTGATCAAGAACCAATAATTGTGGGAGAAAGATTGAGATTTGAGCTGTCTAGATACTGAGTATCTTATCGCTTTAAAATAGCGTGCTGGCAGTCGTATTCTTAAATGGTATTGGCACTTACTTAGAAATAGATGTCCCTTAAATTAATCAGCATATTTATTAATTAAAAAGTAATATAAAAGAAAGATTAAGTTGTTTTGTAAAACATTCACAAACCTGATATTTGATAACCTGGGGTAGGACGAAGTCTTCACAAGGTCAAAATAGATTAGTTAGGAATAAGGAAACAGGTTTCTTCTCAAAATCGTTTTTCAAAGTTTCTTGAAACTCAGTCACTGAAAACATTTTCAATCAAAAATTATTGAAAAAGGTGTACCAGAAGTTATACTTATAACATGTAAAATCCGGATTGGAGTATTGTTTATGAGTCGCCTGGTTGCGACTAATTGTATAAATTTGTATTGATCCCGTTTGAAGTTATAACGGCTGTACATGTAAAGTGTAAGTGTCCCAGGCCCCCAAATTGCCCACAAACACATAACTTTACTGGGCGTAAAGTCCCTATTATTGGAGATGTAAATTGTTAGTGCTCCAGGCCCCAGCTATGCCAGGTGAAAATCTATATTAAATCACGGTACTTTCCAGTATCAGCCATAATAACCCAACTGAGACTAATATAACATCTGCATTGTATTGGTAATTTATATTATGTAGTAAGTTTTTTTTTTACACGAAAAGAAAAGAAACAGTACTAACTACCCCGAGTTTAGCTGAATTTAGCTAAACTCGGGGTAGTAAGTAGCTGAATTTAGCTGAGTTTTATAACTTAAGAAAGTCTCTTTACTATAAATATTCCACGTACCTGCCAAGAAGTATAAGTGTCTCGTCAACAAAGATGCGTCGATTAAAACAAGCTAACAAATCTGGCCAGGTTTAGTGTGAGCTTACAAAGACAAGAGATCGAGAATAAGAAATAAGTCACAACGTGCTGACCAACCAACGATTTGGATGTAGATTACTGGCATTCCAGAGTACATGATTAAATGCGTCACGTGCACTTCACGTGACCCGTCCGACAGCTCAGAATAGCGAGTTTAGTGTCAGCAGGTAAGGTAACGTGATGTGTAACGTGACATTTCATTAGATCACGGCGGTATTATATTACCTACCTACACGGAGCTGAGAGTACTAAACACCTATCTAGCTGGCGAGTATTAGCCTGTAGCAGACCGGAATTGAGCCCTGTAATTTGTAGGTAATTGTTGGTGTGTAGCTGAGCTGCTCATATCGCATAATACAATTAAACTGTGTCACAAAGTTAGGGGTTTTGTGACAATCTAAGGATTTGTAGTGACAAAGCAAAAACTTGACAAATCATTTGGAGCAATGAGTTGTATATAAGTGACGTACGCTGCTGCAAGCTGCTGACACCTCGACAAAAGCTTCTCACGCTATTGTGCTTTTTATGGAGAAATACGTCAGCAGCGTTTTTGAGCTTGTTATTCTCTTTCAAAAGTATTCCAAGTGATTTGTATAAGTGCATATATTGACTCTGAATACATAGCAAAATAATTTTCCTCGATTCATGAAGTTTGAAAGAAGTTACAGCAATGCGCGCAATTTGGGGAGTGTGCTTTTGGCGGAGATATAATATGCAAGCCTCTTGATTATATAAACTGCGCCTATACGTATAAGTGACATGACGCTGCTGCAAGCTGCTGAAACTCTTTAAGTTTATTGCGTGAGACAAATTAGAATGAGGGAAGCTAGACTTCCCATAAACGTTGGATAACGTGCCGGACAACGCTCATTATATAGACCACCGTATTGCAGACTGCAGAGTTATGTCTATCTTGTTTGTTAGTTTGTTCGTTATTATTTGTAACTGCTGAATGTTTAATGTGGTGGAGTGATACCTGTCAAGTCATCACTTATTACTCAATATAATACAGTGTTCTATATATTACTCAATATACTACTATACTACTATACTATATATTACTCAATATACTACTATACTACTATACTATATATTACTCAATATACTACTATACTACTATACTATATATTACTCAATATACTACTATACTACTATACTATATATTACTCAATATACTACTATACTACTATACTATATATTACTCAATATACTACTATACTACTATACTATATATTACTCAATATACTACTATACTACTATACTATATATTACTCAATATACTACTATACTACTATACTATATATTACTCAATATACTACTATACTACTATACTATATATTACTCAATATACTACTATACTACTATACTATATATTACTCAATATACTACTATACTACTATACTATATATTACTCAATATACTACTATACTACTATACTATATATTACTCAATATACTACTATACTACTATACTATATATTACTCAATATACTACTATACTACTATACTATATATTACTCAATATACTACTATACTACTATACTATATATTACTCAATATAATACAGTGTTCTATATATTACTCAATATAATACAGTGTTCTATATATTACTCAATATACTACTATACTACTATACTATATATTACTCAATATACTACTATACTACTATACTATATATTACTCAATATACTACTATACTACTATACTATATATTACTCAATATACTACTATACTACTATACTATATATTACTCAATATACTACTATACTACTATACTATATATTACTCAATATACTACTATACTACTATACTATATATTACTCAATATACTACTATACTACTATACTATATATTACTCAATATGCTACTATACTACTATACTATATATTACTCAATATACTACTATACTACTATACTATATATTACTCAATATACTACTATACTACTATACTATATATTACTCAATATACTACTATACTACTATACTATATATTACTCAATATACTACTATACTACTATACTATATATTACTCAATATACTACTATACTACTATACTATATATTACTCAATATACTACTATACTACTATACTATATATTACTCAATATACTACTATACTACTATACTATATATTACTCAATATACTACTATACTACTATACTATATATTACTCAATATACTACTATACTACTATACTATATATTACTCAATATACTACTATACTACTATACTATATATTACTCAATATACTACTATACTACTATACTATATATTACTCAATATACTACTATACTACTATACTATATATTACTCAATATACTACTATACTACTATACTATATATTACTCAATATACTACTATACTACTATACTATATATTACTCAATATACTACTATACTACTATACTATATATTACTCAATATACTACTATACTACTATACTATATATTACTCAATATAATACAGTGTTCTATATATTACTCAATATACTACTATACTTCTATACTATATATTACTCAATATACTACTATACTACTATACTATATATTACTCAATATACTACTATACTACTATACTATATATTACTTAATATACTACTATACTACTATACTATATATTACTCAATATACTACTATACTACTATACTATATATTACTCAATATACTACTATACTACTATACTATATATTACTCAATATACTACTATACTACTATACTATATATTACTCAATATACTACTATACTACTATACTATATATTACTCAATATAATACAGTGTTCTATATATTACTCAATATAATACAGTGTTCTATATATTACTCAATATACTACTATACTACTATACTATATATTACTCAATATACTACTATACTACTATACTATATATTACTCAATATACTACTATACTACTATACTATATATTACTCAATATACTACTATACTACTATACTATATATTACTCAATATACTACTATACTACTATACTATATATTACTCAATTCTACGAACATTAGACATAAATACACCGATTATTGCCCGTAACCCGCCACCTTTATATTTAATTAGAGAATTATTTATTTATTTATATTTGAATAATAATATTAGACATTAGTAAGACTCCTCTTTTCTAACACAGTTCTTAGAGTCAATGTTAACGGAGCGCTATCAGCTCAGTTTCTGAGTCTGCTGGGCGCTTTTCAGGGTGACTGCCTATCTGGGTGTCTGTTTACACTTGTACTTGCAGGTGCACTATCTGGGTGTCTGTTTACACTTGTACTTGCAGGTGCAATCTGTGAACTCCGAACCATCCTCGCATACTACAATGGGCAGGCCAGATCCACCCATCACTAGTCGAGGCCTTCCCCTTGACACTGAGTATGCAGATGATGTCGACTTCAATGATGGAGATGACGAAAACCTGAAGCGCATTTTTCCTGCGGCAACTTATGTGCTGAAGCGTTCTATAATTGTTTTTATGCTTTTATGAACTGCGATATTATGTACATTTTACTTCATATTACTTCATGTTTAAACCTCCTTTCCTGCATCATTTTACACAAGGCCGGAGTGCACCTAATCTTCACACCACGATTCATGCTGTTTCATACTTTACACCTTCGTCGTTTTTCAATTGAGAGGAATAAATGTTACGAAGGGCACTTATTTCTATACTATTTTACAGTCGATCCCAGCTTTTCTCATGACCAAGTGACACTAAGCTCAGTAAGTATATCATGACGATACTGGAAACTTCTGGGGGTTACAAGTTATCGTCATGTATTATTTAAACATTTAATTATAAAAGCATGAAGACCTTATGGCTTATAGTATTCCGTAACGACTGCAATCACCTTCGGATTGCAGGTTGCATGTCTAGGTTCCTTCTATTATGTCGAGGGGAAAAGATGCATGAGACCACCTACTCCACGATGGCATCTGACAAAATACAATACCTGTACTGTATCGCTCACACATCATTAACTTACCTGGGGACCCCAGGCTATTATGTTCATAAACAGGCGGAATGACAGGCTGAGCGCCGCCCAGTAAATCATTAACAAAATAATAATTAACTATCACTCCTTAAATTCCAAAATCAAGCGGAGAAGATAACACCAGAATGTGTGTGTGTCTGTGTGTCTGTGTGTCTGTGTGTGTGTAATTTCCGAACGGTTATACAAAAAAAACGGTAATAGTTACGGGACTGGTTTTTTTCGGTATAGTGCTGACAAAACTCTGACGAAGCCCATAAGCAAATTTTATAAAAATCGGCCGGTGGTAAGAGGTTTAATTGATGATTTTGTTCCAGAAATGTGACATAAATGGATGGGAGAGAGAACGAGGAGGATAACATGTACCGTAATTAGTTTAGCCCCACGTAATACTATAAGCTTAGAGCTCACATTTGCGGCCGCTTTGTTTCAACTGTAGGGAGATTTCATACTTTCATAAGACAGCGTTATGCGTGATATCAAATATTATATAATGCGGTTGTATACTTTTACATTGCAACTGTGACAGTAAAGTCCCGGCCGAAGGCACGGGTTACACTAGTATCTACATAATGCAAGCGAGATGAATTATGCCTCGTTACGTATATCTACATAATGCAAGCGAGATGAATTATGCCTCGTTACGTATTTCTACATAATGAAATGAAATGAAATGAAATGAAATGAAATGAAATGAGGTATTTATATCCCGCTCATATGATTAACCAACAACACAAGGAAGGTGGTTAACCATGTCAGAGCGGCTGACTGTGAGTGATGTGAGCAAAAGTGTAAAAAGTGAACTAAAGTATAACTCAGCATAAGGCAAAGACAAAATTAAAACATCTTTTATTGTAAACCACACTAAACTAAAAAGAAGCAGTACATGTAGGTATAATAAAGGTTAGTACAGTGACATAATCAATCAAGAAAGAATCAGATCCAAGTAAGTAAGAGATCAAGGCATAAAATGGAGTGCGGTAAAAAATAAAAGCCAATGTGTCTTGCAAAGTGAAGACAATGGAAAGAAAAACATCAGAACTGATTATATAAATGATTCTTTAACATTCGCTTGAAACAGTTGGTATCAGTGATACATCTCAACATCAGGGGAAGAGAGTTCCATGCAATCGGTGCATGGCTTGAGAAACGTCTGTCATCAACTTTGGATCTTTTATTCTTTGGTACCTTGAGCATGAGATGGTCATCAGGTCTCTTCGACCTGGTCATGGTCATGGTGTTTGAGAGTTCTTTATCCACTACATCCACATCCAGTAGTGCTTTGAGGTAATCAGGTGCAGTACCGTGAACTGATTTGTGGGTTAAAAGACAAACTTTAAAGAAGATTCGTTGGTCTATAGGGAGTATGTGGGCCTTCTTATAGAAGGGAACCAAGTCCGTGGTCCTCTCTTCTATGTTATAGATGAAACGAACTGCCCCATTAAGGGTTGATCTAAGTTTGTTCAGTCTGGTCTTGGGTAGATTCATGTAAAGAGAATTACAGTAGTCTAATTTAGATATGACCAGTTGTTTCACCAGCATCAATTTAATGCCTTCATCAAGGTAACGACCAATGGTTCTTAGATTCATCATTGTCCAGCTGCATTTCCTTTTGACATTATTGATCTGTCTTTCCATATTTAGAGTTTCATCAAATTTTACACCCAGACTCTTCCAGCTGTCTCCTTTACACTCCGTAGGCAGAATTTCAGTGCTTCCAAATTGCAGTCTGACACTGAGTTCACACTTTTTTAGAACATGGCTCTTTCCTAACACCAGTAGTTCTGTCTTTGTTTCGTTCAGTTTCATGTAGTTGTTCACCATCCATGCTTTTATCTCTGCAAGACATTTGTTTGTTCTGTCTTGGACATCAATGAACTGTACCACACGGTTTGGTTTAAATGAGATGTACAGTTGAGAATCATCTGCATAGAGCTGTATATCAAGACCATATTTGGCCGCAATTTTCTGGAGAGCTTTGATATAAAGGATGAAAAGAATAGGCCCCAAGAGTGATCCCTGGGGAACTCCAAACAGCAGCTCCAAGAAAGATGAAAGAGTATCATCAATCTTAACACAGAAGTGTCTTTTCTCAAGGTAGGACTTTATCCATTGCAGTGCACTTCCAGTAATTCCATAGTCCTTCATAAGCTTTTCCAATAAGACTGTGTGGTCAATGGTATCAAATGCTGCACTTAAGTCGAGAAGTACAACTATAACAACATTCCCAGCTTCAATTTCTTTGTTTAGATCATCACACATTCTAACAAGTAATGTTTCACAGCTATGATTAGGGCGATATCCAGATTGGACTTTTGAGTAAAGGCTATGGTTCGTTAGATGGACATTAAGCTGGTTTAGTACAATTCTCTCTAGGATCTTAGAGAAGGCAGAAAGGTTAGACACTGGTCGATAGTTACTGAGAATATCAACATCAGCATTTTCCTTCTTCAAAGTCGGTTTGATGACTGCTTTCTTCATATCTGAGGGAAAGACCCCAGTCTTCAAGGATGAGTTCAATACATGAAGTAAAAAAGGTGTTAGTTCATCGACACAGTTTTTTAAAAGAAATGCTGGGATCGGATCCAAGCAGCAGAACTTGTTGGACATCTTTGATACCAGGTCTTTGAGTTCATCAGCTGTTATCTCAGAGAAATTATCAAAGATGCAGTCTTTATCAAGAACAGGATCTTTGTCTTTGTCTTTGTCTTTGTCTTTGTCTTTGTCTTTGTCTTTGTCTTTGTCTTTGTCTTTGTCTTTGTCTTTGTCTTTGTCTTTGTCTTTGTCTTTGTCTTTGTCTTTGTCTTTGTCTTTGTCTTTGTCTTTGTCTTTGTCTTTGTCTTTGTCTTTGTCTTTGTCTTTGTCTTTGTCTTTGTCTTTGTCTTTGTCTTTGTCTTTGTCTTTGTCTTTGTCTTTGTCTTTGTCTTTGTCTTTTCCTTCCTTCTCAATGGCTTGTCTGATGGTTGCAACCTTTTCAGCGAAGAAATCTTTGAAATCTTCTGACAGTTTCACAGGATCCTTGTAGTTTGGAAGATTTTGGGTGTCATTTCCTAAAAGCCTGTTGACTTTTTTGTACAACGCTTTAGTATCCCCTGAAGAGGACCTAAGAGAGGTTTTGTGGTGAGCGCATCTTTTGACAAACTCTAGTCGGGAAAACTCATCTCTTAGCTTAACATAATCCGATCTCAGGTACTCAGATCTTGCACTGTCTATATCATCAACTTTATCTTTTCTCCACGCACGTTCAGCAGTTCTTCTCTTTCGCCTGAGAATACGAAGTTCCAGGTCTAACCAAGGCATTGGCTTCTTAGTAATCTTCTTTTTTATGTAAGGACAGTGTTTATCCATTAACTGAGTGAGCACGGTGTTGTAAAGGACAACAGCATCATTCGGAGACATGTCTTTAGGGAAGTTTGTCAGTTTTGAAATTAAAATATCTTCTTTAAACTGTTCTGTATCAATTAAATTAAAGTTTCTGTAGTTCATGAATTTTGCGTCTTCTTTGGTCTTTGTCTTGATGTCTGCATCGAAGAGGACAAGGAAGTGGTCAGATTTGGTTCTAGAGGGACAGATTTCGAATGAAGTCAGTTTTTCCTTGAAGGATCGGTTAGTCACTACAAGATCTAGGGTTCCACCTTGGTCATGGGTTGGTTCAAGGGGAACGTGTTGGTATAGATCATACTCCTCCAGGAGTTGGTAAAGCTTCTTTGGGTAGTGTTCTTCAGGCTTTTCCATGTGAAAGTTGAAATCTCCAGCAATGATGGGGAAGCCAGGTTTGACTGTGAGGTCTTTAAGGTAGTCTTCGAATTCTTCTAAAAAGGCACACTCCGTGTACCGAGCCTTCTTGGTATAAGGAGGCCGATACAAGTTCACAAGTCTCACAATATCTTGTTGAGATTGTAGCAGTGATTCCATCACTTGGAAGGATTTGTACTTCATGACCTTACTATTACACTTTAACTGGAGCACATCACGAAATAGCATAGCTATACCTCCTCCTCCTCTGTGTTTTCTTGGATCCGAGAGTATATTCCAACCAAGGTCTTTGATCTCCTTTATCTTAGCTGTGTTTCCATCACGAAAGAAGGTTTCTTGTACAAAACAGATGTCACAATCAACTTCTTGAAGATGCTCTAACACTCCGACAATTTGGGGTCCAACTTCTTTCCTGGTTCGGATTTTGATGATACTTTGTATTTATCTTGAGATTTAAATACTGTCTCAGCTTTCTGAAGTTGATCCCTGGTCACAAACTTGAAAGTTGCAGTATTTCCGGACACTGTATAGTTCTTCACTGGGTTGACTTTAAGGGAACCTTTCATTTCCTTTTCATCCTCCTTTGTAATGGGTTCTTCAGAACTCCCAGTCTTTTTCTCCACTGTGAGAATGTGTTTTTCTGCGAGCTTCGTTTCTTCTTGAGTCTTCTTTTCTTTGGGTAGTGTTGCCACCACTGAAGTCAATAAATCGGGTAGTATTGTAGGGAGTACTTCTGCTAGTACCTCTTTGAGCTGTGTCTTTATAATTTCTTTGAAATCTGGTGATTCCTGTTTGGTAGAAGTTGTGGCTTGTTTTGCTCATAGAACAGTTTTTGTTAGTTGAAGAGCATTTTTGGAGAAAGTGTAAATATCCTGGATAACGACAAGCATGTCTGGTTTGGTAAATGTACCTAAAAGGTCCCCACTAGCTGCGGATTCAATAGTTATCTTAATCTTATTATCTTTATCATCTTTCTTACCTTTAAACTTCAGTGTATTGCAGTTTATCTTTTCCAATTGTTCCTCCATCTTTTTCAGGTCCAACTCCATCTTTTCCATGTTAAACACCCTGCTACAAAGATCAAGGACCGAAAGACAAAATGACAAATTGTCAGTTCTTAAAAAAACTAAACAACTGCTTTGTAATAATTCGATACCTCAAATTATTTGTTATATAGTAGTGTTGAAAGTATTAATGCAAGCGAGATGAATTATGCCTCGTTACGTATATCTACATAATGCAAGCGAGATGAATTATGCCTCGTTACGTATATCTACATAATGCAAGCGAGATGAATTATGCAACATGGCAACTCCACATGTAAGATTCATCTCAATTTTGTTTCTTCATCTCAATTTTGTTTGTTCCTAAAATATTAACGTTTTGATTGGTCAGGATGGGCCTAAATGGGAAATCTCTTGAAAATAACCAGTACAACGATCTATCATAAAGAGTGCAATTGTGCAGTTAGTATACATTTTCAATATCCCTACCTGTACTGTTCTGTTGAAGCCCTATTTTGCCTTAATAAGGAATTAAGGAACAATCAAATGACTCTATATGGACACGAAAAAAGCTCGATGTATATGCTACAATTCTCGAAGTATCCTGCAATTCTAGGAATTGAAAAAATGTCTGTTCTTTCAGAGCAATTGAACTAACAGTAGCAATACTGCCTACCAATACACCAATAAACAGTCAATGCCCGGAAATTTTTCACTGTTAGCCAAGGTCGAACACAGCACTAAGCAGGGTGGGGCACAAGGAGCGATTAGGGCACAACAATGAGTCTTATCTAAAACAAATAATATGAGAAGGAAGACTATGTCGTCTAAATTCTATAAAACGTTTACAAACCTGATAACTTGGTGTTGAGGAGAGAGTCGTCACAAGATAGATAAGTAGATACCAGTTAGAAGGTAGTTGCTCGAATAAGTTGTTGAGATCCTGTACTTCACTGAAATTCTCCGCGTGAGTTTTTTATTTTACAGCTTTAAAACAGCACGCGGGCAGTCGTATTCTAAAATGGTACTAACTTAGATGTCCCTCTCATAAATCGAGGAATTAATTAACTGATATTGGTACTGAGGCGTCTAATAGAGGGTGTCAAGAGTCGGAAACTGCCAGCTGTTCTGACATTTATAGACTTTAAGAAGGCTTTCTACAGTGTACATCGTGGGAAAATGTTCAAGATTCTATAGGCTTACGGTATTCCAGTCAAAATCGTACAGCTTATACGGCTCATGTACGAGAAGACAACGGCCAAAGTCCTAATATAACTCCAGACGGAGAAACTGTTGTTTGAGGTACTAGCAGGTGTGTTACAGGGTGAAACCTTAGCACCTTACCTTTTTGCAATAGTCATCGACTACTGTATGAGGCAAGCCATAGGTGATGATGCGGAGCGACTTGGACTCACTCTCGAACGTAAAAAAAGCAGAAGAGTGGGGCCCAAGATCATCATCGATGTGGACTTTGCAGATGATATACCACTTATTTCTGAGGACATGGACAAGGCCAACGAGTTCCTCAGTTCCTGCTCCGAGTAGAATCGCGGCGGCAGCGAGCGTATGGCTACACTTAAACGAAGGCAAGAGGATGATGATTAATCACTCTACACTCGACTGTCACGTGACTTTTTCAACCCGTTCTCTAGCTGGCCCTGAACGACTATTCGAAACCCTAACCCTCTTATCTGATCCCAACCCTAACCCTAACCCAATCCCTAACAAAAGCATATGCTGAAACCCTAACCGAACGAGAAATTCGACTAACTTCCTTATACGCACGGTCATATCACGTGATCAAGACAGTTTTTCGCCAATATCTTGGCAGGGGAGCATTTTAACCCTATGTCATGGGGTGTGATTCTGAATCAACGTCCGAAAATACATCGATTCAAGCTGTTTTCAACTGTCGGGGGCCCTTTAAGAACAATCTCGAAGATCGACTGATTTAGCACGCTCAAAGGCAAGACCAAGGTTATGACATTGAAATTTGAATATGGAGGATCGATCTAGCGACCTCTAAAGCATGAGGTGCCCTACAATGTAAGTTACATAGCACAGATAGGGAGATAAGGGTTAGAAAGGGAAAAGCATGAGGTGCCCTACATAGACTGAAGGATATTTGGAAATTCAAACCCTGAAAGAGCCTTAAGATTAGATTGTTCATAGCGGCTTGTGATCAGTATGCAGTACTGCTCTACGGATCAGAAACCTGGAAACTGACGAAGGCTCAAGAGAAAAGTTTGGACGGGACATACACAAAGATGCTGCGTATGGCGCTGGGTATCTCATGGAAGAACAAGGTCAGCAATATAACTTTGTATGGTAGCCTACCAAGGCATCAGTTATTCAATTATGCAATTGACTGACGCCGAGTAGGGTTACGAAGCAGGAGATTAAAAATGGCAGGACACTGCATCAGACATCCTAAGCTACTTGCTAGTGATTTAGTCTTATGGGAACCTATGCATGGTAGAGCACAGCAAGGCCGACCAAGACAAAGCTACTTGTCTATGTTACTGAAGGAAGTTGTGACAAACTCTAAAGAGGAACTGCGAACCCTGATGCGGGACAGGAATATATATGGATGGGGTTATCTGGCGCTTCGCCAAGTTCCTGCCTTAATCTTATTGCTGGCTACGTGGCTGATCAAGAACCAATAATTGTGGGAGAAAGATTGAGATTTGAGCTGTCTAGATACTGAGTATCTTATCGCTTTAAAATAGCGTGCTGGCAGTCGTATTCTTAAATGGTATTGGCACTTACTTAGAAATAGATGTCCCTAAAATTAATCAGCATATTAAAAAGTAATATAAAAGAAAGATTAAGTTGTTTTGTAAAACATTCACAAACCTGATATTTGATAACCTGGGGTAGGACGAAGTCTTCACAAGGTCAAAATAGATTAGTTAGGAATAAGGAAACAGGTTTCTTCTCAAAATCGTTTTTCAAAGTTTCTTGAAACTCAGTCACTGAAAACATTTTCAATCAAAAACCATTGAAAAAGGTGTACCAGAAGTTATACTTATAACATGTAAAATCCGGATTGGAGTATTGTTTATGAGTCGCCTGGTTGCAATGTATTCTTGTTATTGTATAAATTTGTATTAATCCCGTTTGAAGTTATAACGGCTGTACATGCAAAGTGTAAGTGTCCCAGGCCCCCAAATTGCCCACAAACACATAACTTTACTGGGCGTAAAGTCAATATTATTGGAGATGTAAATTGTTAGTGCTCCAGGCCCCAGCTATGCCAGGTGAAAATCTATATTAAATCACGGTACTTTCCAGTATCAGCCATAATAACCCAACTGAGACTAATATAACATCTGCATTGTATTGGTAATTTATATTATGTAGTAAGTTACACGAAAAAAGGAAAAAGAAACAGTACTCACTACCCCGAGTTTAGCTGAATTTAGCTAAACTCGGGGTAGTGAGTAGCTGAATTTAGCTGAGTTTTATAACTTCAGAAAGTCTCTTTACTATAAATATTCCACGTACCTGCCAAGAAGTATAAGTGTCTCGTCAACAAAGATGCGTCGATTAAAACAAGCTAACAAATCTGGCCAGGTTTAGTGTAAGCTTACAAAGACAAGAGATCGAGAATAAGAAATAAGTCACAACGTGCTGACCAACCAACGATTTGGATGTAGATTACTGGCATTCCAGAGTACATGATTAAATGCGTCACGTGCACTTCACGTGACCCGTCCGAGAGCTCAGAATAGCGAGTTTAGTGTCAGCAGGTAAGGTAACGTGATGTGTAACGTGACATTTCATTAGATCACTGCGGTATTATATTACCTACCTACACGGAGCTGAGAGTACTAAACACCTTTCTAGCTGGTGAGTAATGAGTATTAGCCTGTAGCAGACCGGAATTGTAGGTAATTGTTGGTGTGTAGCTGAGCTGCTCATATCGCATAATACAATTAAACTGTGTCACAAAGTTAGGGGTTTTGTGACAATCTAAGGATTTGTTGTGACAAAGCAAAAACTTGACAAATCATTTGGAGCAATGAGTTGTATATAAGTGACGTACGCTGCTGCAAGCTGCTGACACCTCGACAAAAGCTTCTCACGCTATTGTGCTTTTTATGGAGAAATAGGTCAGCAGCGTTTTTGAGCTTGTTATTCTCTTTCAAAAGTATTCCAAGTGATTTGTATAAGTGCATATATTGACTCTGAATACATAGCAAAATAATTTTCCTCGATTCATGAAGTTTGAAAGAAGTTACAGCAATGCGCGCAATTTGGGGAGTGTGCTTTTGGCGGAGATATAATATGCAAGCCTCTTGATTACCTTATCGGACCTTATTTGGACGGACATTACTTGAACGCTGGAGGCCCTAGCGTTCATCTTAATGTCCGTTCAAATAAAGTCCGTTCAATTAATGTCCGTCCAAGTTAAAGTCCGTTGAAATTTTTTCAAAACTTTTTCCATTTCGAACTTTTTGTCCAGAATATGACAACTATGATAACTTTATTGTGACGTAAGTTAACGACGGAAAGGTTCTCCTTGGTCTGCCGGAGGCACAGAAAACTCTACTAGTATATGATGTTTTCAAGGGTCACTTGGCGGAAAAAGTCAACAAAATTATGGCACTCAACAACATAGTTCATGAGCTAGTCCCCGCCAACGCCCAACATGACAAACTTGTTCCAGCCTCTAGATATTACGGCAAATCATGTTGCCAAGGACATTGTCCGACGTTGTTATAGTTCATATTACTGAGGGGAGGTAATAAAACAGTGCTAGGAAAGCTCCACGTGATGTTAAAGGTTAAAACCTAAAGTTGTCTAAGATAAAACCACTTCACGCCGAATGGCTTGTAAAAGTTAACACTGAAATGCAGGACCGGGGCAGTTTGATAAAAAAGGTTTCCATAAAGCTAGAAATCACTGATGCTTGTTTAAGCATGGACTATTTCATACACGAAAGCCCATTTGATGAAGATGATATGTGATATTAGATACTGATCATGTACACATATTTTAAAATTTTACTGCTTAATGACTGCTTTTCTTACTTACTGTATAAAAAATGGATTTAAAAATCATTTTCTGAAATTATAAAAACCTCAAAAAATTTTAAAAAAATTCGGCTTTTTGATGGTTTTGAATGCCTTCGAGCGTTCATATTAATGTCCGTTCATAATTACGTCCATTCATGTAATGTCCGTCCAAATAAGGTCCGATAAGGTATATAAACTGCGCCTATACGTATAAGTGACGTACGCTGCTGCAAGCTGCTGAAACTCTTTAAATTTATTGCGTGAGACAAATAAGAATGAGGGAAGCTAGACTTCTCATAAACGTTGGATAACGTGCCGGACAACGCTCATTATATAGACCACCGTATTGCAGACTGCAGAGTTATGTCTATCTTGTTTGTTAGTTTGTTCGTTATTATTTGTAACTGCTGAATGTTTAATGTGGTGGAGTGGTACCTGTCAAGTCATCACTTATTACTCAATATAATACAGTGTTCTATATATTACTCAATATACTACTATACTACTATACTATATATTACTCAATATACTACTATACTACTATACTATATATTACTCAATATACTACTATACTACTATACTATATATTACTCAATATACTACTATACTACTATACTATATATTACTCAATATACTACTATACTACTATACTATATATTACTCAATATACTACTATACTACTATACTATATATTACTCAATATACTATTATACTACTATACTATATATTACTCAATATACTACTATACTACTATACTATATATTACTCAATATACTACTATACTACTATACTATATATTACTCAATATACTACTATACTACTATACTATATATTACTCAATATACTACTATACTACTATACTATATATTACTCAATATACTACTATACTACTATACTATATATTACTCAATATACTACTATACTACTATACTATATATTACTCAATATACTACTATACTACTATACTATATATTACTCAATATACTACTATACTACTATACTATATATTACTCAATATACTATTATACTACTATACTATATATTACTCAATATACTACTATACTACTATACTATATATTACTCAATATACTATTATACTACTATACTATATATTACTCAATATACTACTATACTACTATACTATATATTACTCAATATACTATTATACTACTATACTATATATTACTCAATATACTACTATACTACTATACTATATATTACTCAATATACTACTATACTACTATACTATATATTACTCAATATACTACTATACTACTATACTATATATTACTCAATATACTACTATACTACTATACTATATATTACTCAATATACTACTATACTACTATACTATATATTACTCAATATACTACTATACTACTATACTATATATTACTCAATATACTATTATACTACTATACTATATATTACTCAATATACTACTATACTACTATACTATATATTACTCAATATACTATTATACTACTATACTATATATTACTCAATATACTACTATACTACTATACTATATATTACTCAATATACTACTATACTACTATACTATATATTACTCAATATACTACTATACTACTATACTATATATTACTCAATATACTACTATACTACTATACTATATATTACTCAATATACTACTATACTACTATACTATATATTACTCAATATACTACTATACTACTATACTATATATTACTCAATTCTACTACTATACTACTATACTATATATTACTCAATATACTACTATACTATATATTACTCAATATACTACTATACTACTATACTATATATTACTCAATATACTACTATACTACTATACTATATATTACCTACTCAATTCTACGAACATAAGACATAAATACACCGATTATTGCCCGTAACCCACCACCTTTATATTTAATTAGAGAATTATTTATTTATTTATATTTGAATAATAATATTAGACATTAGTAAGACTCCTCTTTTCTAACACAGTTCTTAGAGTAAACGTTAACGGAGCGCTATCAGCTCAGTTTCTGAGTCTGCTGGGCGCTTTTCAGGGTGACTGCCTATCTGGGTGTCTGTTTACACTTGCAGGTGCACTATCTGGGTGTCTGTTTACATTTGTACTTGCAGGTGCACTATCTGGGTGTCTGTTTACACTTTTACTTTGAGGTGCACTATCTGGGTGTCTGTTTACACTTGTACTTGCAGGTGCACTATCTGGGTGTCTGTTTACACTTGTACTTGCAGGCGCAATCTGTGAACTCCGAACCATCCTCGCATACTACAATGGGCAGGCCAGATCCACCCATCACTAGTCGAGGCCTTCCCCTTGACACTGAGTATGCAGATGATGTCGACTTCAATGATGGAGATGACGAAACCTGAAGCGCATTTTTCCTGCGGCAACTTATGTGCTGAAGAGTTCTATAATCGTTTTTGTGCTTTTATGAACTGCGATATTATGCACATTTTACACCATATTACTTCATGTTTAAACCTCCTTTCCTGCATCATTTTACACAAGGCCGGAGTGCACCTAATCTTCACACCATGATTCATGCTGTTTCATACTTTACACCTTCGTCGTTTTTCAATTGAGAGGAATAAATGTTACGAAGGGCACTTATTTCTATACTATTTTACAGTCGATCCCAGCTTTTCTCATTGCCAAGTGACACTAAGCTCAGTAAGTATATCATGACGATACTGGAAACTTCTGGGGGTTACAAGTTATCGTCATGTATTATTTAACTATTTAATTATAAAAGCATGAAGACCTTATGGCTTATAGTATTCCGTAAAGGCTGCAATCACCTTCGGATTGCAGGTTGCATGTCTAGGTTCCTTCTATTATGTCGAGGGGGAAAGATGCATGAGATCACCTACTCCACGATGGCATCTGACAAAATACAATACCTGTACTGTATCGCTCACACATCATTAACTTACCTGGG